ACCAAAAGAAGCTAGCTGGAGTTGACGATATCCACGTTATATTGTCAGAGCACTATGCTAAATATCACACTGATTGTAGAAATCTGTTTGGGGAACTGTATGTTTACGTTGCATGCGCTGACTTATGTGGTGACTACTCCACGTGCCCGTTGAAACCCTTGATTGTATCACCTAAAATTAAAAAATGCTATAACTATCCCAAAGATAAGTTGGTGATGTCATTGGCTGAAGATAACAAACTTGGGCTTGCTATTCAACGAAGTAGTTCACATATTAGCAAGGCAGTGTTTGCTTGCGACGACGGTCAATGCACTTCATTTGATGAAGTCTGCAATTTGGTGGTTAACTGTAAAGATGAATCTGATGAGAAATATTGTAGTAACAATTTCAAATGTTCCGTGTCAAAGGAGTACATTCCACTTTCTAGCAAGTGCAATGGAAAATTTGACTGCTACGACTTTTCAGATGAGTGCAATTCTGACTGCAGTAATCAAATTGTAATGTTTGATCACATAGCTTATCTGATTGTAGCCTTGGTGTTTGGGATAATTGCAACTTCTCTCAACTCAATCAATTTTATAAACGGACTCCGGGAGTATCCCTTCTTGAAGACGGAGACTGCTCGGGTGAACAAATGTTTTGTACTTTTGATAACTTTTGGAGATCTGCTTCAAGGAATCTTCTTGATAATGTTATCACTTGGTGACAAGTTCTTTAACAGGAGTGACTGCAGTTCTCAATTTGAGTGGACAACCAGCTCACTCTGCAAAATACTAGGGGTCATCTCTACTATTGGGTCCCTTTTATCCCTTTACTCGATGACAGTTCTGAGTGTAATCCGTGCCAAAAAAATCAGGTCAATGTTAACACCAAAAGAAGAAATGTCAACAACAACAATGCTCTTTCTTGCTTCGACCGTCTGTGCCATCATAACACTATCCACATTAGTTGCAACATTACCGTTGCTCATTGCAGAAGACTATTTCGTACAAAAACTTAACTATCACAAAAACAGGCTGTTCCTAGGAGCGCCAAACAAGCAGAAGCACATGGGAAATAATCTACGCTTACTATGGGAGAGTATTACACGAAGGTGAGTCTGATGCAATAATGTCCTGGGCTGCGATCAGGAATCTAGTCAAGGATATGTTTGCTAATGATGTGGTGACTGGAACAAACCTCGGTTTCTATGGTAGTAATGGATTCTGTTTATTCAGTTACTTCGTGCGAGAAGACGTTATCTACAAGTTCTATTCTATAACCATCCTGTTGACGAATCTCATTTGTGTGCTGTTAATCGGAGGATGTTATCTGTATGTAAATGTTTTGGCAACGAGAACGACAAGTGCTGTTAAAAGCAACGAAGCTTCAGCAAAAGCGGGAAGGAAACTGCAACGGAAGATAACCCTGATAGTAACGACTGACGTTTTAACGTGGCTACCTTTCATAATCGTGTGCGTTGTTAACTACACTGGACTTGTAGACACTTCCAGCTGGTACTTTATATTCTGCATCTTCTTCTTGCCTATCAACTCCATTATCAATCCCATAGGAATATACGACGATACAATCATGCATTGGTGTGGTATGGGACGAGCTGCCAAGGGGATTAAGTCTAAGTTTCACAGTCTAACGGTAGAGATGAGGAAGAAATTTGGTAAGTCTAAGATTCACGGCATTGCGGCAGAGATAATGAATAAAGTTCGTAGTTTGACTGCAATAGATTCTGATCAATCTCCCCAATCCATCTCCCAATCGTCACCGCCAGTGGCCACCGCTACTATGTGAACGGAACACGAAGTTTCGTCAGTTCCTGATCAAGTACGGGGCTCCTCCTCCATTTTGGCCTGCCAGTCGTGGCCACTTTGTCCCCCAATGTTTTTACATCGTACCTGTTTTGTAGTAACGATTTTCCTGATATACTTATAATATTTACCATATTATGTCGGTAGCTTTACCCCGGCATCGCTAAATTACTGTCTCTAAATCGTCCAATTTGCTGTGACCATAGTTCTCAGTCCAGTCCAAAATCTAAATCAATTCAAGTAAATTCGACGCGATTACCCAAAATTATCCTAGAAAAATACCGACTCCGGTCGTTGTGATTGAAGTTGTGTTTGAAATTAAAGGCCATTCTTGGAGCTTCATCCTAAGAACCACTGGGCTGTTTTCATCTTATGTTAACATATTTGGTACTATCCTGTCTGTTGACGTCACCATGCAGATGATTTGGTGGGGCGGGAACCACTCAGGTTAGAGAGTTGGGAGGGGTGTATATATTTGACAGAGCATAGTGTGGAGTGAGCTATGTGCCCATCGTATATATGGTGTTTTTTTTGTAAAACTTGTACAGTGATTTTGTTTCATTTAGTTTGGGTAATGGTGGCTGGTTCGAAGTATTTTACACGAATTAAGAAGGTTGAGCGCCACTATAAGTAGGTAAGTGAGCGACCACTTAGCTTTCAAGACTGCTTATGCTCTAGAAGTGTGATCAAACAAGGTTGTAAAATATTTTATTGCGAGACATTAAAGCATTAAGAAGACAGAAAATTAAGGAAAGGAACTGCTAGTTTTCCTATATTTAATGGGTAGCAGTGCTTTACTTCTATACATGGCACCAATTCTCTTCATGACCATATCTGAAGTAGCCCAACACTATGTCCCGACCAGAGGTGTTGGGATGTATACCCCCCGGTGCCTGCCCGGATTGATAAAGCAGTGAAGCTCCATGTTATATTGAGCATTTTTACAATTCAACAAAAGACCGTGAATCATAAATATAAACGTTCTGATTACATAGTAATTTGAGGTCCCACGGGAATTCCTCTCAATACATAATATAGTAGGATAAAGTATAGTTATATGGCAATTAGTTTGTATTACAAGTATCGAATTATTGTGGCTGAATTGTCGGAGAGATAGCTAAATGGTATAATAACCGAGCGATTATGAGGAGGTCGTGGGTTCAATTTTCGGTCACGGCACATCTCACCCTGACTTTTCACGAAACGTACTACCTTACTGCCTGATTTAGACTACTAAACCAGATTTATACCACTAAACCAAATTTATACCACTAAAACAGATTTATACCACTAAACCAGCTAAGCGAATAAAAAATATAGTTGATAGTACTAATAATTTTATCTCCCAAAATATTATTTACAATAAATTTCTATTGTATGAAATTAATATAGTTGTGTGCCTGTCATGTCCTTTGTACGTCTTCAGTTTACTTTCGATCATTTAAGGTCTGGGAGTAGATGTATTATAAATTAACAAAATCACGTACCATAATCACCAAAATTATCAAAAGTTGAGAATTTTTATACGTTTGTAAAGGAATATTTTTAAATGGATTAAATAGTTTATGCGCGTCACCCTTAAACATGTTTTAACACCGCATGAAGGGTTTAAAAGGTGTGCGTATTTATAATAGTAAACTGAATACGTACGAAGGACATGACAGGCGCACAACTAAATTGTATTATGCATAAAAACAATCGATCATTGATCATGAATAAAACAATTTTAATGATTTTACAGCAGATATTTACAATTTTAACATTTTTAATCCATAAATCATGAATCGCTAAACCATAAATGTGTTATAGTATGGTACTTTTGGGTTCATTGTCATGTATTCATGTGGCTGCAGAATGTACATCCATGTAATTAGGAATTTAATAGCCAACAGGAATTAAACAATCGACAATTGTTTAATGATTATCTTGTAAGACGCGCGGCTTAGGCATTTCAATGGGTCCTACTTTGTACGTTTTGACCCAAGCATAATATGTTGTTTATTGTAAGTAAACTGACCGTACCCGAGACAAGGTGCTGATTTGTAGAACCTTGCCTTGGGCCAATATTTTGAGAAGAAAGTTGCGCTGCGCGCGCCAATTCGAAGAAATGTAGACAAGTATCATTTGTTAAATTTATATTGTTCCCACTAAATTGCTCGCCCAAATTTTTAAAATTGTTTTTTCAAAAAGACCCCAAATGATCGCAATTACATTTTTTACAAATGTTTTGTGTACATTTGTGATTTGTAAAAGTAATTATTGATTTCAATTTCGAAAATTTTAATAGTAAATTATTTAAAATTAAGGTGCAAAACTTTTTACTTCAAATCTTTATATTATGAATTCACGATTAGATTCCTGATTCATACTCTAAAACCAAAACTAGCTTGAATCGTTTTTAAAGCATATACCATATACACTTACATTGCAGCTCAAATAACGTTTTACAAGCCTGTCACGTGCACGCGTCCGACAAAAACGGTCATTTGCTCATAACTTGCCAAGAAATGATTTGTATGCTACTTATTAGGTTTTATTTGAAATCAGCGTAAAAATACATTGGTATAGCTTACTTTTAATTTTACAATCTTGTAGTGCGATGCACTATACTGGGCCGCGCCGCGCATCAAATAATTCTTCTCGCAACCACACTTCGGTGGTATCACGTGACACATCATGACCCCTATTGTCGTTTCACTATAGCTAGTAGTAGTAGTTGTGACCCCATTGTCGTTTTACTGTAGAGTTTCTACGATACAGTCAGCCGGGAGCCGCGCACTCGATCGTGCGCGGCGGGTCATACAACGTATGACACCACTTCGGTAGATCGGCAAAATGAACCACTGGGCCTCCCCGGCCTCGTATACCGAGCTGCGAATGATTGACAAGGTGAATCAATTACAGTCCCACAGCTTGCGCGGCCAGTAGTGCATCGCGCTACAGAGCTTGCGCTTACTCATATAAAAAGGATAAGTATTAAGCATGTACAATGTACACAGATATGTGTATATTTTGGCGAATGCTGCGCGCCTGCGCCAATCGCCATGATCATTTGGAATCTTCAATTCACACCCCACGACTATTACTGAATATAAATTACTAGATATAATAAAGGAAAACTTAATATATAAAATTAAATATACAAATTCTAAAACATAAAATGACAAGATTCTCAAAATTAACATATTCTTTTTCTGTAACCATGCAAATAAAATTCGCGAGTTTTCAACTTCATTTGCAAGCTGAATTGAAATAGTTCACATCGAAGCGTCAGTTTTTGGTTATTTTTTGTTGTGTTGTATGCCGGAAAGATTTCGTTATGTTTAAAATATATTAGTATAGAATAATGATATAAATATATATTTTCATTCATGCTTGAAAGTTTAAGTTCATTTCTCCAACATTTCGATTAAAAAATACGTTAAAGTAGTTTTTATACCGTACGACTACGACATTTCCAGTCCACTATTACTAAAAGTTTAATTGTTCATGTTCAAAGCAAACAGGAGTCCAAAAAGAAGGATTGAGCTGATTTTTTCTGTTACTGCGTAAGAGTAGTTGTTGTTGTCTCCGTGTTCAATCTCGTCTTCTTCTGGTGGGGAAGTAAATTTAGTAAAAGAAAGGAATCTTATTCATTTTTCTTGGCTCAGTAAAGCCATATCTATAACAAATAATTAATAAATTGTTAGCTATGCATATCTTAATCTAGTGGACAGAGTTATGATTTATTGATCAGAAATGAGAGGATCGTGCTCTAACGAAAACGCATGCAGTATTTTTGATTATGCTGCACCTACCTATCGGACGTTAATTGATCGGACATTATGATTAAATTACGTGATACCAATATTACATTTTTTACTTTATTACTAAAATCATCACAATCACATATTTTGCTAATCAATTTATATTTACTCTGAAGGCACTTACCGACGACGCTCAGTGTTATACCGACGCTCTTGCTGACTCCCGTCATCATGACAGTACAGTAGTAGGTGCCCGCATCGTCATACTGCAACTCATTTATACGGAGACTAGACTCATTTGTTTTGAGATCGAATGTTATCTGTATTCGGCCGTCCTCGGGCATGTCCCCTTGCATCTTTATCCAAGTTATGTAATCTGCGATGAGGCGAGGGTAGCTCACAGTGGCTTTCATTGTAACTGCTTTCCCCAAAAACCCGATCACGTCAAACGTGTTGGCAGTCACTAACAAATCCGTAAAATATTCCACTGAAAATTTGCTTGTTAGTTAGTTTTACGCCAAACCTGATCATCTGTTGCTGATATTGTGTATTGGCTCCTTCAAAATTCAGACATGCAATCAGCAATGATTCTTACAATTGTTGCACTTTATTTTCCTTATCCTGCAGGAACCTATCTTCGTAGATTGAAACTTGTTAAGTTGGGGCTTTGTGGGAACTAGCGATTTAGAAACTCTTAAGAGATTAAGGGATTTTATAGGGCTGTTGGACAAAGTGAGATTCGTTACCAGATTTTACGTTGTCCAGTGATGCGACAATAAGCATTACTGCTAATGAATAGATCATCTCAACTTTACCTTTTCTACGATATCTATTGGGTTAACTATTGAATAATATAAAAAATATTCTTGGCTGTAACTGTTATACTTATAGGTAACTGATCATAAAAGTAAATGACAGAAAATAATTTGCCTTTGGCAGTTTTATAGCGACATTGTGAATGTGAATAATATGCATCATTTAAAAGTCAAAATTTAAGGCTGCCTCGAAATAAAATGCAGTAATTTTAAAATACAAAAGTCGGTAAATTGAGCCCTTTACTTTTAGAACGCTTGATTCAACTGGATAGAAAGAAAAAGGAGAATTTATGGCTGCTGAGAAAATAATTGTACAGACTTAATGATTACAAAGGTGATGGACCGGTACAAACAGATGAGTGAGGAATCATTCACATTGCTTCTCGAAACGTGCTTGTGAATTATTTACCATTGTGATCTATTATTTAATTTTATAACACTAACAGTAACAGGAGTTGGTTCAACTTCAACTGAATAAAGATGATATGGCTGTCAAAGAAACCAAAACAAGACTAACAAGCAATCTACTTATGAAGATACCTAAGTTCTCTAAACTGCAAAGGCGACTAGCAGGCGTTTTAGCTACTATGCACCTGAATCGTGATCATGGAATCCTCACCCTCTTGATGACCGTAACATATAATATATTATAATTATTGTTATATAATATTGTGTCCGTTAAGAGTAAGTTGAAGAACTATTTGTATTATCAGTTATAGCATGGCTAGGCTATTGTTAGTCAGTTAGTGGCTAGGTCTCTTAACACGATCACCATCCGATAATTGTGTAATCCTTTCCGTTTATAAAACGAGCCACCCCGACGCGACCATGATTCACTCCTCCAAAATCAACATAATAAAGGTTAAATTAATGTCCGTTCAAATAAGGTCCGATAACTGATAAGGTATTACTTGTGAGAATAAATGATTTCTTACTATAATAACTTATTACACAATCTCGGAAATATCTGTAAAATTTAACTGTAAAATTGAACTGTAAAATTGAACTGTAAAATTGAACTGTAAAATTGAACTGTAAAATTGCATTAAATTGTGTAATTGTAATTTAGTTGGGGACCCCATACCAGGCTGATCACAGTGTTCATGAACATAAAGCTGCTGCGGAATGACAGGCTGAGCGCCGCCCATTTGATTGAGTCATAATACAATAAGCAAACATGTGCTCCATCACAAGCACACATTAAGTTTGACATATAGCTTATATGCGTGCTTATGCAAAAATGAGGATCAGTCATTGCTTCACGAAATGTGCTTGTGGACGGTAGAAATATGTCAAATCTTGCTGGATCTCCTAGCTGTGTCATCTGAGACCTTGTCAAACTCAAATCATAATTTATAATTGTAGAGTCATTTGACGTTGATAAAATTTAATGTTAAATATTTTAACAGTGGAAATATAACGTTTCAGGGGCGATCATATACTACACGAGGAAAAAAAAGGACGATTCAGAAAAGTACCAGCCTGCAGCCGGTACCGACAAATAACCCAAGTCGGACCACTGACACGCAGCACATTTCTAAAGAGGAGGGACCCTCTGGTGCACAAGAGACAGCGCAAGCTCTGGAACCAACAGCACCACCTCCGCCACCTCCACCTGTCACACCGACAACCTCTATCCCACACCAAGTCCCACTCTATGTGAATATGGTGCAGTCTTCCGGTAGCCAGCCAGTACTAAACATGGTGCAGTCCTCCGGTAGCCAGCCAGTACTAAACATTGTGCAGTCCTCTTTTCAACCCCTCGCCCAGTACGCTATCCCTCCCTTCCAGATAATACCTGTAGTCGCCTCTCCCGTCGTGACCCACTCTCATATCATCCAGGTATCTAACCAAACTCCCCTTTACACTGCCTCTGAGTACAGTAAACTCCCACAGTGACAGAATCTGGGGAGAGAAGAGAGCAGAACGGGGACTGCAGCTCTACAGCTAGAGTTATGTGGGGGAACACGGTGAGGAGTGTGTTGAAGCAACATCAGGAAAACCCCACTGGAGAGGAAGAGACGAGCACTGGTCAGGATCCAGAGGACAGTTCGCCTGGAGAAGAGGAGCACATCTACCAGAGTTTAGAAACTGAGACTAGTGGACCATCAGAGACAGTTGAGTCTACTAATGGTTACTTGGCTCCAGTAGGAGCTGCTCGTACTAGATCAGAGAGGTTTAACTCAGACCCTTCTCGTCTCCCTGGATTAGCGGAGGAGGGTCTACAATCGGCTTTAAAGTCCAGATCAGAACCCAATCTGCTGGAGTGAAGAGTGGACAGTATATAGGACATCATGATGGTTAGAAACTGAAAATATCCGAACAATATCTTATGTCTATATATGCTCTAGTTAGTTAATTCTACTTATAAATTATCATTGGGGTGGTTCGCGTGAATATGGACAACACATTCATGCACAGAAATGCTTTTAGAAAACTAGTCCTCACCTGATATGGCTTTACAGTGATGGTGACATGGAAATATCATATTGACCCTTTATATTTCCGATATAATTATAATATTTTAAATTTACTTTTTTCATAATAAAATGAACAGATCTATATCTTATACTTATAGTATTTTTATAGATACTGCCACTACTGGTGGCTCAGTGGCTCAGTTGGTTGGCTCAGTGGCTCAGTCGGTTAATCCGCCTGTCTACTGGCCAGGACGTTGCGAGTTCGAATCCCAGTTGGGCCAAAATCTCAAAAACTGAAGGGCAGCCGTCACTCACCAAACCATGGTGTAAATGGTAGTGGCTTTCATTAGAGCTGTGAATTTAACAGTAACACGAGTGTATATGCCTGGGGTTGCGTCCCGACTATACTGCAGGGAAATCTGTACCGAAAGGACCGTGGCCGAAATGCGATTAGACAGGGAAATCGGCTCCCCGACTGCGGTCGACCAAATTATTATTATTACTACTGGTGGAGAGATGAGACATATTTGTTTTATACGTGACCGTGGTTATTCAACCAGATTCTAATTCCAGTATTGAACAATCAAAACCCGGAATCACTCTTGCTTACTACTCGTAACTTTGTTAATATTGGTGCGATGAAGTATTCTAAACCCACAGGGACTTATTTTTTGTACCCTAGATATTTTTGTCCGCGTCGACCTAACGTTAAAGTGGACAGGGTGATACAATAATTGGATATTTGTTTCTTTAAAAACATCTAAATGCGGAAAAATGCCGCCTCCCTATAAGGTGCCAGTCCTAACTTTTTTGAATTCCCGATAATCTTTTAACACTTCCCTGCTAATAAAGTACACGTGTCAAAATAAGTTACCTCCCTACCTGTATACTTCTATAAGTGACACGTGACAAATGAAAATAGTTCGGCTTTCACTTATCAACAAAAATAAAATGCATTCTTTCTGAAAGAATCATAATCAAACCATGCAGTTCAAGCAAAAAGGTAACCTTCTCTCGATATTTAAAACAAAAATCCTATAAGAAAATTGACGCTTAAACATAATCAAAGTCATGCACAAATTCACACAACACCGCCTTCATACCGCCTTCATAATAACTAATAAGGTCATCATATATCGAATATCTAGAAAAAAACAAGAAATAAGTGATTTAATGTTTTGGAATCAAAATATTATCTAAGTTATAGTTTATAAAACACTACCTACTAGTGCTGGTTAATCTAGTTCTACCCTTTTTAAATATCACGTGATACTCATAAATGGTAGAGTTTTCCTGCCATATACGGTAATATTGTCAAGGTAACATTGCCATATACGGTAATATCATTAGGGTATCACTATATATGGTAATATAATATGTATATAAGAATATCAGTATCTCAGCAGCTATTGTCAGGAGTAAAGTAACGACTTTTCAGTTTATGCGTACATGAGGCTCTTGTCAGTGTATATCCGTTTAGGAAGCTCATAGTCGTAGTACTTATACTTGTGCGTAATACTGTTTATCACACGTTTCTCCATCAGGGGTGAAGTTTTTGGACTCTTTACTTTTTCATAGTTAACTGGAATAGCACGTGCATATTTTTCTGCCTTTTTGTCCACCTGCGCAGCGAAGAAAACCTTGTCTGCAGCGCTGGTCGCGTTGGCAACAAGCCCGTAACGTTCAGCTGCGGTCCTACCTTGCCCGTACTCCTGGGGCCCGAACGCCTGGACGAACGCTTTGTAGAGAGGAGAAGAAGACTGGATGGAAGGAGAAGGGGTGCGGTAGTCTCTATTAAATCTAGGGACTGGCGGCATCTCACTCAACCTCATTCCAACCTCTGTTCTGTCTGAAATTAGGTGCTGTTATTATAGTTATACTGTTATTAATTTAACTTCATAACTTGTTCCCATGCTCTTAGTTAGTGTTAAGAAACTTCGTAATATTAAGTGTGAGGATTTATAGTACTAGTAGAGAAAGTTTGAAGTGGGATTAAAGAAGACGTACTATAAGGAATGTATTATTGTATTGGGAAGTAAAACTAAAGTGAATTTTGTAGACATGCTATTATTATAATGGTGCTAATACTAATAGAAAGATAAAGTGAGTCCCTTAGGGCAGCTAGTTTTATTATTTTCCAAAAACGGACAAAATCGAAACCATTAACACCGGGCTGAAGTGTTAACCTATAACACACAGCTGGTTTATGTTTTAGAATAGGTTTAGAATTCAAAATAAAATAGCACCACTAAGTGCGCTAAGAGAATCTGCTAATACATATCTGAGAATAAAATGCTGTCTACAACTCAGGAGATGAGTGATAAAATCTAAGTGCTATTATTGAACACTCGGTCAGTTTCCGCCTGCAGTCTGCACGGAATATATTACCACAGTCCCTCGCCACTGTTCACAGCTGATATGTGCCCTGTGAAGTCAGTCACAAGCCTCAACCTGGTCTGCCATTTAGGTGGACGTGGTTAAAGATACAATTTATACATGGTCCTGATGGCTTTTAGAAGTCGCTTTTTGCTGGTGGGTTAACCTTCAAACCTTGTAATGAAGCCATTTCAGTAGAGCTATTATCTCCACGGATCACAAGATGGCGGTGTTAGGGGTGTTCTGACTGTTCTGGGCGGCAGAACTGGTGTTACTGGGTAACTTTATATTAAGAAGCAATACCTAGAGGTCTTGGTGCCACCAGGGCTTGGTGGCTGCATCATAACCTCAACAATTGATCATGATCGGCATCGTTGGTTATAATATCCAGGATTGATGGCTCCATTACATCGGCTCCTTGATATAATGACTGCTCGGATATCTTCGAATATTCATCTGCCTGTGACATACATGCCACAGCAATGAAACTACCGGACCACGATTTATTGGCCTCAGCTGCACATCCTAAATTCAGCTGGAGCAAATTCGCATAATCTTAAACAAGAATATTATGTTAAATACAATTCTGTCTAACAATGGCAGCACTACCATATAGGGTAATGTTTGGTAACACTACCATATAAAGTAATGTTCGATGGTAAATATCTAAATATGTCCAGCAAAGAAAAAGGTCTCACCCTCCGAATACCATATCACACGACCACCACTCATCTTTCTGCACAAAATAAAAACGCTTGCTGAAAAAACTCGGTAATTTAATAGTCCATGCCTAGTCGTGGTGGTTTTTGTGGGCTCCGGAAGTGGCCAGAGGCTAATAGGCTGCCTAGATGGATACTGTGAGCAGGTGGTCTCTCACAATCTCATTATCTCAGCTGACTGCGCATTGAACAGTCACATGACCTGTGCGCATGTGTGTGCGTCACGTGACTGATGCTAGGTAGCACGTGAGTTCACATTATCCGGTGTAAACTGTAAACCAGGGTGCTGCCTGGCCGGTAGTTCCCTGGAATGAGGAGGGTAGCTGTGCAGGGAAAGTGGAAATAGTGTCGACAATACCTTTCAACGGCGCCATACAAGCGAGGCTTGTTGGGCTTTTTAGTTTTTGTGACAACTTGTACCTGGTATTGGTTACCTTGGTGACCAATGATATCGTCAGAATATTTACTGGTTTAATTCACATACAGAGATAATGGTGCGATGTTAAAAATGCCCACTATCCTGAACTCATTTGAGTTCAATCACGCTCACTTAGCACAATGATCATATTCTGCGCTCATTTATAAGATCTTTCCGATAAAACCAGCGTTCTAGGGCGATAAATGAATGCAGCTATGACAAATCAAGTGAACGGCTCAACAACCAATAACATTTAACTCTTTTAATTCTCCTTGGAAAACTCGACAAATGGTCAAATTATTGCGCATAAGAGCACTCCAATTTCGATATCATCAAAAGATTTTTAAGAAGATTTTCTGGACCAAGTGCGCAATATACTGACGCGAAATTAATAAGTTCTGAATAATCTACGTGCCAATCTAAGCCGTTAGGGCTTTTTAGCTCATTCTGCGATCATTTTACTTAATTTGGGTGCACAATAAGTTACTAAACTTCATGCTATGTACTTATAATTATATATTATATATGCTTCATATCGTGAGCGTGCAGACGTGCAGGGAGTATGCGAATTATGTGGCCATAATGAGTGAATCATTAGTAAAAGATATATTACAAATAATAAGAAATGTGAGTTGTATTACTTTCATTTGGTTACTGTTAGAAAGAATGATGGTGGTTACCACGGTTACTGTTAGAAAGAATGATGATGGTTACCATGGTTACCATGGTTATACTGTTAGAAAGAATGATGGTGGTTACCATGGTTACTGTTAGAAAGAATGATGGTGGTTACCATTGTTACTGTTAGAAAGAATGATGGTGGTTACCATGGTTACTGTTAGAAAGAATGATGGTGGTTACCATGGTTACCATGGTTACTGTTAGAAAGAATGATGGTGGTTACCATGGTTACTGTTAGAAAGAATGATGGTGGTTACCATTGTTACTGTTAGAAAGAATGATGGTGGTTACCATGGTTACTGTTAGAAAGAATGATGGTGGTTACCATGGTTACTATTAGAAAGAATGATGATGGTTACCATGGTTACTGTTAGAAAGAATGATGATGGTTACCATGGTTACCATAGTTACTGTTAGAAAGAACGATGATGGTTACCATGGTTACCATGGTTACTGTTAGAAAGAATGATGATGGTTACCATGGCTACTCTTAGAAATAATGATGATGGTTACCATGGTTACTGTTAGAAAGAATGATGATGGTTACCATGGTTACCATGGCTACTCTTAGAAATAATGATGATGGTTACCATGGCTACTCTTAGAAATAATGATGATGGTTACCATGGTTACTGTTAGAAAGAATGATGATGGTTACCATGGCTACTCTTAGAAATAATGATGGTGATTACCATGATTACTGCTCGAAAGAATGATGCTAAGTGCTGCTAACAGTGCTCTCCATACTATGCAGTGCTCTACAGTAGAGGCAACAGTGCTAGCTGTGCTCTACCAGTGCTATCTGATTTCTAATGCAGTTGTTACCCTGGGAACTATTGGCCGGGAGGCTTCAGTTTTGGATCCACAGCACTTGATCGTCTTCTAATCGGGGCTGGTTTTAGGTTACCGTCGCCAGCCTTGGTGGCGAAGGCTGCAATTTTCAGTTTGCCCACCTGAGACTGCCTGCGTGCCGGCTTCTTTCCGCCCTAGTGGGGAGAGATAGTAAAGGAATCACAACAAAAGAAAAATGCTAAGTTTCACTTACAAAAGAATCTACTTTTTCTTCCAGGAACGTTTTGGGGCAGGTGGTCCGGACTCTTCAGCAGCCCCGCCAAATGCGCCAACATTTAACTTGCCCACTTTCTTGATTGGTTTTTTAACTTCACCCTGGAGTTGCTATTTGAACATTAGTGCATAGCAGGATGGTTCCTGTGTAATAAAAACAACAACCCTGAGATTATGGAATTAAAACAGCAACCGTGGGATTATGGAACCAAATCAGCCTGATATTTTATTTCATTTGAAAATTCATGTAATTATTATATATATAATATATTATATATATTTTTTTAATTTAATTTGTTTTTAATTTACTTCATAGAACAGTTATTTTAATAAACTTGCTTTCAGAATGAGACATGTAAAGATTACACAATCGATAGCTTAATGTGAATTTCGTGTTTTACTGTTTCACTGAATGTCTCAAATATATATATACTAGAAACCCGCCGCTAGTCGAAAGCTTTGTTCGAGGAAATTTTAAGCATCAGTTATGTTTTAATTTCTCTTCATCATATAGCCCCAAAACAATACTTTTTACCGCATCAAAAAATTTCAATCACAACCAAAGTTATAAATATATATAGGTATTTATCGGTCATCGCTAGTCAATGGTCAAACAATCCAACAAATATGCTTTAGTTCCCGAACCCTGCTTCACTGAAAATATATGAATTACACATTTGAATCATTTCGGTAAATGTCAGGTCCCTCATCGTCTCATTTGATAGATCTGTTCAAATTGAAGTTTTTACGTATGAAATTGACGGATGTTACTCGTCTAAATTTCTTCGAAGTAGCGCGCGCCGCTTTCTTCTCGAAATGACGGCACGAGCTACGAAGTAGCGCGCGCCGGGCCAAATCATTAACAATGGTCAAGTATGAAAGAATTGTGATAAATAAAAAAGGAAATTTGTGCTGAATGAAATTGGTAAAATGACATAATTTATCAAATGACTTTAGATCCTAAATCAAATAGGTTAATAAATGGATATTTACGTAGGTTGACAAAACGTTAATTCAAAATTATTATCATTATATGAAATTATTATATGAAAATTGATTGCTATGAAAATAAGTAATAGCTAGTTATGAAGACAATCCTTGAACACGGGATTCTTTGCAATATTGCCCCGACTTGACAGCACCAAGATATCCTTAGGATCGTGTGTTCTTGACAAAGCTTTGTTCGAGGAAATTTTAAAAATCAGTTATGTTTTAATTTCTCTTCATCATATAGCTCTGTTATACTGTAGACATAATGGAATTTATCTAACAATGGCGACAGCGTTGTTAGTATTTGGATTCCCAAAACGATACTTTTCACCGCATCAAAAAATACCAATCACAACCAAAGTTATGAATATAAGTCACAGCGTGAGCGTAAATGTGAGCTAGTTTGTAGTTTTGAAATTATGACGTAGCATACAGCATAACAACGCGCGTAGTTAAGATGTTCTTGCTCGCGCACGTGCATTTTAACGTTGCTACGCAACAGCGCAGTAAACCTTTGCTAAAATAACGACATTATTCTAACGGTTATTTTACCTCACTTCCGACGTTAATTATAAAAAATCTAAAGCCTAAATCAAAATTCTAAGAATGCTATAGCCTATTCCTATCCTTTTTCTACAACCCTGCTAAAAATGGCGAGGTTTCAACTCCATTTGCGAGCTGGGTTTGATTTCACCAGAGGGTCATTTTGAGGTCGATTTTCGGTGTTTTTTCTTCTATGTCCCCGTTGCCGGGGAAATTTCGTCAAGTTTAAATTATAGTATAGATATATAAATCAAGCATTATATTTCACCCATGCAAAATTACAATGACATTATTTTGATATATTATGGTACTGCAATATAAGTTGCATAATGTTTGGCCGGATGACAACTAACTAAACTAAAAAATAAACTTGATTATATGATAATTAATTCGGCTGAACCAACACATAGCAAAAGCCACATTAACGTTGGGGCCGTCTAAAAATTGTGGATTGTGGAACTAAATCTTCAATATGTTATTCGTTTAATACTTTTGTTCGATACCATCAGGTTAGAACCCGGGTTTATCTATATTATAATTTAAACTTGACGAAATTTCCCCGGCAACGGGGACATAGAAGAAAAAACACCGAAAATCGACCTCAAAATGACCCTCTGGTGATGCCAAACCCAGCTCGCAAAATGCAAATGGAGTTGAAACCTCGCCATTTTTAGCAGGGTTGTAGAAAAAGGATAGGAATAGGCTATAGCATTCTTAGAATTTTGATTTAGGCTTTAGATTTTTTATAATTAACGTCGGAAGTGAGGTAAAATAACCGTTAGAATAATGTCGTTATTTTAGCAAAGGTTTACTGCGCTGTTGCGTAGCAACGTTAAAATGCACGTGCGCGAGCAAGGACATCTTAACTACGCGCGTTGTTATGCTGTATGCTACGTCATAATTTCAAAACTAGCTCACATTTACGCTCACGCTATGACTTATATTCATAACTTTGGTTGTGATTGGTATTTTTTGATGCGGTAAAAAGTATCGTTTTGGGAATCCGAATACTAACAACGCTGTCGCCATTGTTAGATAAATTACATTATGTCTACAGTATAACAGAGCTATATGATGAAGAGAAATTAAAACATAACTGATTTTTAAAATTTCCTCGAACAAAGCTTTCGACTAGCGGGTTTCTAGTCCATTATATTATATTATATTATATTATATTACTCCATATGCATCATAAAGAACTGTAATCGGCGTGATATGTTTATAGTTATACTTTATACCTGTTACGTCGTGTCCCCGACCCGGAACACAGGATCTTTCCACTGAAGATTTTATGGGCCCCCTATTTTCAGGGTCTTGCCCAAACAAATAACACTTAATCAAATAGGAAAATATGCTCTTATCCAATAGCAAAATGAAAAATTAACAAAGGTGCAGTAAATCTGATAAGTGTCATGTTAAGGGGGCTGGTTCACCCTAATCTTTTAGTGAAACTTGTTTTAGAGATAGCCAGTTGACCAACAAACTAAGATCCGTGACCAAACTTTTGAGGGGGTCCCGGACCACGGGCGTCCACCGGTGCCCGCGGTGCAGCCGTCTCCATATTTGGTACATATTTGGTCCATTTTTGGTCCATTTTTGTCTTTTGGCACAATTATTCCAAATTACCTCAACATGCCAAAAAAACCCAGATACAAACTTGTATCCGGATTAGACAACAAATGGCTGAGTTATGAGCTAAAAACCATATGCTGATATTTGGGCATACACACCAAATTCGATAGATTTCATTTTGAGCCCATAAATTGATCAAATATCAATTATCTTTCGTATAAAGTTAATTTCATTCGAAGCATCGATATTTGACCAATTTATGGGCTGAAATCTATCAAATTTGGTGTGCATGCCCAAATATGGGCATATGGTTTTTAGGTCATAATTCAGCCATTTTTTGTCCAATCCGGATACAATTAGTTTATGATTATATACAAATCTGGTTTTGGGTATGTTGAGGTGATTTGGTATGACTGGGCAGTGGGCCAAAAATGAACCAAATATGGGCCTGGCTGCACTGTGGGCACCGGTGGGCGGGTGGGCCCGGGAGTTCTCAAAAGTTCGGTCATAAGTCTTAGTTTGTCGGTCAACTACTATATCGAAAACGAGTTTCACAACACATTTAGGGTGAACCAGCACCCTTAAGTAATAGAAAGATAAAATATGATGAGACGGTTACCTCTAAGCCGGCGGGTAGCTTTAATTTTCCCACATTTCTCAGCTGTGCCTCACGCTCCGCGTCTCCGAATTCGGGGATTGCTAACTTTCCTGCCGTGCCATATTCTTTATCTTCCTCTCCCAAACCCCACTTGACCTTACCTTGGTTAATCAGCATAAAAATCACGCATTTCACAATCAATAAGGATTAACTCACGAGGCTTAGTGCTGGATGAAGTGTGCTGAACCTTTTACCTTATTGTCTTACTCGTTAGATAGCCAAATATGGACAACACGTGCTCGTTGGATAACCAAATATGGACAACACGTGCTCGTTAGATAGCCAAATATGGGCATCACGTGCTGTTTAGATCAGCTGTGTGCTGAATTACTAGTTTATTGCAACTAATTTCTTCTTAAAAACCGTCCGTTGACAGTTACCTAAGCCTTTATAGACATTGAAAATTAGATCCTGCTGTTATACCATGTCCTAGCATAGTTTACTAAGTTACTATCAATATTCAATTATCATTTTTACTTGACCTTACCTACCTGCGTTGGTGGCAATTTAAATGCTAAATTAAACAATACCCGGTGAAATAACAGCGGGATAAACCGTTTATTTCATTCTGTGACCAGTTAATGGAACATTTTCGATTTGCACGTGCAAAAATTTAGAAATGAAATTGTCCACGAGACAATCAAAAAGAAGACATGAGTTGCCAAGGGGAAGAAGCTTATCCTTAATAGACAAGTTAATGGCAAAAAACTGACTAAAATTTACCGTATCTCTGTTGAATTTGAAATTGCAATAATCTAAATACGCTGTTTCTAATTTCTATGGCTACATGTCAATGGAATAGTCTATTTTTCTGTTATTTTAAAGGCTTCATTAATATCAACAATACGCGTTATTTTACCGCATCAAACATATCAGTCAGAACCGAAGATATTGCCATTCACAGGTCACTTAATCAACATACAGGACTCTTAGTATTGTTAGAACCACTGATGACTGATCTCTGTGCTCAACGCTTCTGTGGTGAAAAAGGCACGATAATCACGCATTTTCTTTTGGTATGAAATATAAGTGAATGTTAATCTTGTGTGCATCAGTCGAAAATGAAAATAATGCGTTCTAATTTTTATTCGAATCATAAATAGATTTCGGTTACTATGGGGATGTGACGAAAATTTGTTTTGACACGTGACAGTGACCAAAACCACATTCATTTGTCAAAACAAACCTGCGCATTTACCGTTATCTACCGTGACAATCAGTGCAAAATAAAATGTGATAAAAATAAAATCATTGTTAGCAGAAACACATACCGACATTCATCTCCTTCCTTAGTTCCTCTGAAAATTCGGTATGTGTCACACTGCTGATCATTACTATTCATCAATAATACTATAATAATACAAAGTGCATTTGAATCAAGGATCAGCATGATTCTAATCGAAAAAAAAATACTTATACCTTCGTGATTGAACGAAAGTCTAAATTAGGTACGGTGAAACCCCGATTTAACGCAGAGTTTGAGGAAAGGAAACATCCGCGGTAAATCGGGGCGAGGTAAATCGGGGTTTTACTGTAGTATATAGATTTCGGTTACTAATCGGGGTTTTACTGTAGTATATGTGATTTTTAATCTCTCTCATATTTGTATTATTGCTGTATTGTATAATATACTATTTCAAAGTTTCAAATCAATCAACTTTTAAAATCTTATTTGGGTATAGAATGCGGCTTTCAACTTACCTTCTTCTTTATCTTTTTTAGCTTTATCAAGACGTTCCTGCATCTTCCTCTCTCTTTCTGCTCTCTTCCTTAGAAACGCTTCCTCCTTCGCCTTCTCCGCTGCTATACGGTCAGCTTCTTCTTTAGCAATGCGTTCTGCTTCTTCCCGAGCTTCTCTTTCTAATCTTTCTTTTTCCTCCCGCTCAGCTCTCTCCTTCTCCTCCCTGGCTTCTCTCTCAGCCTTTTCTCTCGCCTCTCTTTCTGCGTTCTCCTTGGCAATTCTTTCGGCTTCTATTTTAGCCAGTCTCTCTGCTTCAATTCTGTCCTTCTCTGCTTGTATCGCCGCGAGACGATCAGCCTCAGCTTTCTCAGCTGCAAGTCTGTCAGCTTCTATTTTAGCTAACCTCTCCCTTTCTTCTCTGGCTACTCTGTCCAACTCCCACAATCTCAACCTTTCTGCCTCTTCTATAGCTAACCTCTCCGCTTCTTCTTTTGCTTTACGCTCTGCTTCTTCCTTCTCTCTCTTTAGTCGCTCCTTCTCTGCCTTCTCAAATGCTTCCCTCTCCCTCTCCTCCCTCTCTAATCTCTCCCTTTCTTCTCGTTTTCTCTGCCTCTCCAATCGTTCAGTCTCAATTGCTGCTTTCCTCTCCCTCTCCTCTTGCTCCTCCTTTTCTTTCTTTGCCTGTAACCTGGCTAGTCTCTCAGCCTCTCTCTGGGCCGCCCTCTCTCTAAGTTCCGCCTCTTCCTTCTCTCTCTTCTCCTTAGCAAGTCTCTCTCGTTCCTCCCTCTCCTTTTGTAATCTTAACCTCTCTGCTCGCTCTTCCTCCTCTCGTTTTTTCTCTTTCGCCTCTCGTTCAGCCAGTCTTCTGGCATTTTCTTCTTCCATTTCTTTCTTCTGCTTCCTCTGGTTTTCCTCTCGTAGCCTCTCTTTTTCAAGCTTAGCGAGCCTACGTGCCTCCAAGCGCTCTCGTTCCAGTCGTTCCCATTCTGCCAGCTCTAAAGCTAACTTCTCTGACTCCAGTCTCTCTCGCTCAAGACGCTCCGCTCTTTTTCTCTCCCTCTCTTCTGCCTCTTCCTTGTCCCTTTTTTCAGCCAGTAACAATCTCGCTGCCTTATTCCTTTCGTACTCATTCAGTTCATAATCTTCTGAAGGTGTGAACTGTTTCCTGTTGAGCAGGGTGGACTCGTCGAAATCACAATGGAACTTATGAGCTTCAACTGGGCCCAAGTTCCAGTTAGCAACAATCGGCTTTGCTCTAGGATAGCTGACTACCTTGACTTCACGTGACACTCCATTCTTCCCGTTCCTTCCACCTGCAATCAATCCACCGTTGGATAAATAGTAACTATCCGTATCTCCCTCCTCATGGAAACTCGTTCGAGAGAAGGCAGAGTCCCCTCGTCCTCTCATCAATCTTCTGTCGTTCTTTGCAGTAGTGATCTCCTTAACGGTTGTGTCCTTCACCGGGCACGCCACTTGTCCTAACTCTATGAAGTCTACAACTTGGTGCCTTTTGTAGGTCTTGATGGGCAAGGCCGCATCCACGTTCGTTATCCCATACCCTTGGTTGTTAACTCCGTAAATATGAGAAACACTCATAGCGGAGGATTTTCGGACCATTTTCGGGGAGGAGGACATTTGTGCGTCACTACTGAGGTAAACTTGTGAGCTGTATGGTAATAATGTAATAATCACTTGAGGTTTGTTCTAGACAGTTTTTTATTTTAACAGCAGTGCAAAGTGTTTAATGTTTTGTTGATGTCCATTGTCCAGCAACTGGAGTCCAGTTCGTAATTAACAACTTAACCGGCTCTCTATAAGTATTAGACTCCGCTAGACGTGTCAAACAGACAAAGCAACCAGCAAAACAAACCCTTTACGGTCAGGTTATCACCATGTTTATATTTCGTGTTTAGGCAGGATATAAGGCTTAGGAATTCGTATCAAAGGTCAAACAATATTTTAATTTTGAGAATTTAAAAAATGTGTTGCGTTAAATGGGAAAAAAATTACTAGGAACTGTCGACATATGTTCATGTAAACATCGAGATAGCTAAAAGAAATTATTGTAGAGAAAAGAGTAGACAGACAAACTGTACGTGTTAAAAATGAAATAATCAAGTTACTATCCCTGGGATACAAGGTTAGGACTGGTCTATATCGCTGTTAACATGCTTCCTTAACGGAAAGTTTTACTAAAACGATACAATATGATTACTGTCTTGGTAATTGGATTAGGTAGGTAGTGCAATGAGGCGTGCTAATAACAACCAACCCGCTCGAACCACATTCCAAATTTATTCAGCATTCTGCATTATATGTTCTCCGCAATTCCCTCTGAATATCAACATGGCTTCTATTCCGTTTAACTACCCTTGTTTCAGAGATGTAATTTAATAAGAAAATAACCGTTTCACTGCTGATGGTAGTTGTCACAGTGCTACGTTGCGGAGTTGTCAGTAACAATGGCAAATTAGCCTCTAACTGCCTCTAGAAACATAGAGATCAGTAAATATCAGTAGAAACTTGGAGAATGTAGCTGTGAAAACTGTAAATTCTGGTAAAAAGTAGAGCACTGGAGTGAATATAACGAAAATTCCTTGGGATCGTTCACAAAAATTCTCAAATTGTCCTTCTACCCACTATTGAAACTTCTAGCACATAATATTTAAAAAAATAGTAGACGAAATAACGTGCGCTCATTGGTCAGATATTTAATTGATGAACCAATGGACGCGGCGATCTCAACAGCTAGTCTCTTAACTTTATTTCTGCACTATAAACAATTAACTTGTAGCTTTTTCGACCCAGGGAGACATAGTTGTACTACCACTCCTTCCTTCTAAGCCATTGGTATAACGTCAGTGTCATTAAAATATATCTTGCAAAAATTCAGTATCAGTAGTAGTATTATATAGCTCATATTAGTGCAAAAGTTACCTTTTTTGCAATCGGGTGCACTGTAATCAAGCTCTAAATTAAATTAAAAAATTAGAATTTGGAGCTGTTGAATAATTACAGACCTTACTGGAATTAGGACGGAAGGAATTAAGATCGCTGCAATTAATTAAGATCGATGAAATTAGGCGTATTGGGGCGCGGATCAATGTTTCAGGTCAGGAACTGCACAAATAGCCGGCCATACAACCTGGTATTTTAAAAGAACACGACTAAACTATGTATGATACTTCTGCAGGGGCAGCATTTAGTACACCCAATATTTAATACAGCATTTAATATAGTATCGGTAAAAGAAATAGGACCAACTGGTGCAAAATAAAGAAAACTAGTCGACAAGCAAAAAGTTAAAAAATGTAATGAGGCAACACGAAGGGTGCTGGGACAGTCCTAAAAGCAAGTATTTAATTTAGTGTATGAGTTGTATGCGTTTAATAAGTGAGTTATATGTAGAAATAATTTGATAGAAGGAGAGGTTACGCGTACGTTATTAATATTATTTGAACAATGTCAACTGTTCAAATCAGCTTGTTCGTTTAGACTGATAATTATGTCAGCATTACAGCTTTATAGCTAATTTTTCAAAATTAGAAGAATCATTCAGACCGATTTAGTGGTCTAAAAGACCACTAAGATTTAGTGGTCTAAAAAAACAAACAAATTAGTGGTCACAATTAGTCGCAAAATAACAGGAAAAAATAACAATTTTAATAGAATCGTTAGGTCGAACTATTGATAAATAAAGAATGATAAGTCAGAACCGACCCAGAATTCCTCTGTTTCGTACGTAGCGTGTCTGTTTGAAACCTAGTGTGTTATTACAGGATCACTCACCACTAATTTGAATACTTATCAAAGCAGACTTGTTCTGCATGATCAACTCCTTATAAGGCAATTTATTGTACCAAATAAGGTCATTTTACCATGGTAACGCTGCCATACAAGGAGTTGTGAAGGTAATATCTACTAAAATGCTGTTTCATCATGGTTCAGTGGTCATTTGAAGCCATTTGAACGTCCTCCAACTAGATCATCGTTATCAATATTGATCAAACAAGAAAAAAGAACAGCCTGAACTTATCCCAACAGAGATAGAACCTGGTTGTGGTAAACGGTAGAGTAACATTTCATACCGCTAACGGAAATTACCCAAGCTCAAAGCTGTCAGGATATTAGGTTGGTATGGTGACCGAGTGCTGCTTAGAGGGAAAACTACCAAGTGGAACTTGAAAACCTGATAATGTAGCAAAAAATGCAGAAAAGATATCCTCTGGGAGAATACTGTAAAATTCGTTCAAACCTCTAACCCGTGAGTTGCCATGACAACAAGTATTCCTGTAGTTCAGGTTATAAACTAGCTGCAGCTAGAAACGGAGTAACTGGTGATGATGTTTTGGCTGCGGCTCGAAGATAGGCCGTATTACGGTGGGAGTGTTGACTTAAACCTTCACATTTTACAGCACTTCACCTCTTACGCAGATCGTCACTCAACACCGGGAATTCCGTTATACAGATTGCCTGCGGAGGGAGGCTGCCTGTGCAGCTGCCGTCTGCCAATCCTTATATGGGCATTTTAAATCTGTTCTCTACGAGTCACTGGGTTCGTTCCGGGGAGCTGGTAGAATGGAATGTTTTGTAGCTCTAAAATATGGTTCAGAAAAGACTTTAAAAATTTGTTTCTGCCACTAGAAAGGCACTCACGAGCTCAGTGTGGGGCGAAACACATCATACGCGAAAACACATCATACTCGTTGGTATTTTAAAGCATTTAAAGTACTTGCTTTTAAGTTGTATGTAATCTGCATGGCCATTGCGAACATTTTTCACCTATTCGGAAGTCTCTGTGACCTCTCTAGCCCACCTATATTTCGCGAAGCCAAAAAATAAGTTTTTCGCTAATAGTTCAAAACGTACGTGTTTTAAGGTTTTAACCTTTTAACATCTTTTAAAAGAAACCTAAAAAATTGATCAAAAATACTAACGATTTTCAACTTTTTCCAAACACGAACAAATAAAATATTTCGATTCGCGATGGTCTGAGCACTTTTAAACTCTCATTTACCCGCCGTAATGTGACCATGAAAATTATTTTGCACACCATTTGAGCTCCTGGCGGAGTGCTTTTATAGTGGCAGAAGCACATTTTAAAAGTCTGTTCTTAGGGATAGTTAGTAGTTGTACTAATCTATCTAATTTTACAACTCTTTTATTACTGCACAGAAATACAACTCTTTTTACTGCACAGAAAATTAGTTGCCAGGTGGTTCTATATTAGTTGCCAGGTGGTTCTGTATTGATGCCTATAACTGCCCCGTAACTAGGTAATATCGCGTTAGGTTAGGTTCTATAACTTTAAGTTATCAGTTTGTGGGATATATAATACTCCCTGGTAGTCGTTCACCTATAAAGAAGGCTACTGTTATTACAGGACTGTTACAGGACTGCTACAGGATTGCTACTGTAAACTGTTATTACAGGACAGGAAGGGGAAGTGTTAGCTGGCTGATCTGTTTAGACGTCTGAAGAGCTACAACTACAAGGTTGATCACAGTCTCACATTGTAGGTTTACAACCTACCAGGACGAGCGCCGAGTTGGACTCGTCGACGGTCCTGGAATAGTGGAGTATATGGAACAGATATTTTACAGTATCACCCGTTAACACACTATCACCTATGTTACTGGGTGGCGCTCAGCCTGTCAATGTCATCCCGCCGAATGTGTTTATGAACATTATAGCCTGGGGTCCCCAGGTAACACCTATTCAGTATTGATAACTTTGTTAATAGAATAAAATAAGTTTTAAAGAAACGCGAACGCGTGTTATATATATATAATATAATCGCTGATCTTAGTGGGAAACATGCTATGGTTATATTGCAACGGTATCAAGACAACCGATATACGGATACCTTATCGGACTTTATTTGAACAGAAATTAATTGGACGCTGGAGGACCTATAACTATAAGCGTTCATTTTAATGTCCGTTCAAAATAATGTCCGTTCACACAATATCCGGTCAAATAATGTCCAATATACTTATGCTATTACCTACGTCCTACAGTAGCAAGAAAACAGGCAGAATTCGGGGAGCTGAATATAACTTTCAAGAAAACAGTAAGCTATGGTCTATGGGTGCAGTGTTTAAAGATTAAGAAAACAGTAAAAAAAAACAAAAGCAAAAAAATTTGCAGGTCTAGAAATGGCTCCTGCACAAGCAATATAAAAGAAGCAATAACGTTCTTTATAATTAGCTCCCCAGTATTTAACATTCAGCTAGTATTGTTAATAAGTTGATATGAATATTTTAGTGATATGACTCAATGAGGTAGGTGCATCCTAAAATGTTCTACGCAAGTTCTATAAAGTTTAACCATCTGTTTAACTGTTTTCCTACCTCATATTGAAATGTCAGCAAGCACAAATGTGCAGGTTCATGGGGGGTTCTTCTCGGAAATTCCGGGAAAAGTTGCTGACTCTTCTTCGGAAGAAGAACTAAACTATTGGTTGTAGTTTTAACTTTTTTGTGAGGTATTATTAGATTGAAATATGAGTTTCCTTTTGGCTTCTGGACACGAGTGCTTTAATGCTAAATCGTTTGTGACGAAAGATACAGTTTATCCGAGGCTTTGCAGGGATCACAAGCTGAAGGACAGTGCAAACACTCCAGCTACTCCTTCATTAGGCCCCCTGATGAAGATCCGAGAGTAGAAGAGTAGAAGTGAGCTCTTAATCGCGCTTTATCCGCAAGGGTTCGATTAGAGTGGCTATTTCATCTAGGCAGACGATTCAAGAATAAAGTTTTAGCATATGGTAGTATAAAACCAAAAGTACAACCGTTTTCAAGCCAGGACTTCTCAAAATAATCTCTGTGCCATTTGAATCTAAGAAATCTTCCACAATTGGATAATAATGTTTGGCCACTCGGTACTATAAGACGTGGAAACGATGCTGCAAACGTATTTCATAATGGTCAGTAGTGTAATGTAAAGAAAAAATATATGAACGTGCAAATGGCACGAGATTATTAAATCGATCGGTTAAAAACGGTTATTTTTGGCCTTGGGTACATAATCATTATGCGCCAAAAATAATTATGCGCCAAAAATTTTGAAAAATCCGCTTTATTGAAATCTGTCGAAATTGAAAAAAATTCATAATTTCTTATAAAATGTTCAGCATAATAAATATAATGCTTTTACACGAGCCATCACGGAAAAATGTTTACTAAAGAGATAATAATATAAACCGCATTGAAAAGAGATGGGAGGCCGTAGAATTTGATGGAAGTGAAAATGCTGGTCTGTTGGTCTGAACAGCATCGCCACTTGCCGGAAACTAATCAACAGCTGTGGAATAACTTCAACACGTTGTTTTTACTTTGAAGTCGCATTCTCACAGTTCACAGAGACTGGTTATTTGAGGTGTGAACACCGTGACCTTACAGACGTTAGCGTGAAATTCAGACACAAAGTTAGTTTTCTGAACAGGAGTTGCGACGGTTACAAACTAGTTAGGGTGGTGTGGTGCGTTATGACGCCTGGTTGAGATTAACCTGCCTTTACTAATGCTATAGACGGTGTTTATTGCGCTAAGTTGCCAACTTGATATCTAGCGGGGGTTCCCTTCTTTTTTTAATAAGCCTACTTGACGTACTGTTGCAGAAACAAGGTAGAAAAGAAAAACGTGGCTTGTTAATATTCATGACGGTGACTTCTAAAGTTCTAATAGTATAAAGTTTTCAACTTGCACGCGATTATTAAGGTTTTAAAATTGCTACTTGTAGGCTAATCTAGTTTAAAAGTAATTTATTGAAACCCTGAGAAAAGTTCGCGTCAAGGTCCAGGCTGCTACCTCAAGCTGTTGCGAAAACGGTGATCGCAGTTAGTATACGGTTAGTACCTATTCCCTGCTGCGAAGTGAATTTTATACGAAAAGTTCCCGAATCATAATTGGCATTGGTAGATGTAAAACAGGGTCACGACTATAATAAAACTGGCATAGAATAGAATTTGTCCGCGATAAGCTGGTGATGTGAAGTTGTGCCCGTAGGCTATTTGTTGTATGGCTGTACTAAATGAGTTTAGCAGCAGCCTTGAGGTATTTCAAACGGAAAACATGCAGGATAAATATTTTAAAATTGGGAGGTGAAATAACACCGATGGAAACATGACGGCAATTGGATAAAAGCGCACCCTGCAATCGAATAGAAGCATACACGGTATTTGAATAGGAACATATCTTAAAGAAAAATCTCGAAATTCGAGTGTGGAGTGATTTAGCACGCTCGTACTCAGGTAGGTTCAAATGGCTCCCTATTTTAATGGACACATTTGAGATAGAAGCCAGCGCTAATGTTGACCACTAACTTTCTTGGTGTTTCTTGGTAGTTTTTGGTATTTCTTTCACCAAACTAGGTTCCGGAGGAACCACCCTTTTTAGCACGAAAAAACATTGTTGACATTCTTTGTACGATTCGGCAAAGATCAAGAAAGATCCAGCTAAAATATACATAAGGTTAAGTTATAATCCAACTCGAATCCAGCTATATGAAGTTAAGATCCACGTAATACTGTAATATACGACTAAGATCCAGCAAAGATCCAACTAAGAACTAACTAAGATCCACCTTACTAATAGTAATAGTCATAAATTCAGTTTTTAACTAAAAGTCAAGTTGGTTTTAACAAGTTTAACAAGTTTCTGCACCGTCTATAAACTATAAAAGCCAAAATAAACAGAAAATTTACAACGACCAATTAAAAACAGTTCTTTGGTTAGAAGATTCTCGTTACTTCAGCACTCTCTGGGAATGTAAAAAACGTCTAATTAGTTGACAATAAAATGAGAATATCAATACACAATATATATATCTTACTTATAATTCAGAGAATTCTTTTTGTACGACCACCCACGTGCAAATCAGACGAAAAATATGAACTTGCGTAGTAACCATGGTAGCGAGGGTTATTACACCTTTACACGCACGTGCACGTGCAATGATTGTTTTAACGTCATATTGTGGTAATTACGCTGTGTTCACTCATTCAGTACGAGACAAATTTTAATCGGCTGTGTCTTCGGTTGTGATGGATATTTTTGATGCAATAAAACTGCAACTTCCCTCCTGTGACCACGGGCTTTCTAGTATTATATAAACGAGAATATCATAAGAATGTGGTAGTGGGTCGAGTTAAAAAGTTAGTCTCGGAGCGATTTTTTCTAAGATTTCTTGACGTAATTCAAGACGAAGTAAGTTTTAGTTCAGACCGTAGCACTGAGCAGCCTACAAGAACAAGAAGAACAGTGAAGTTACGCGAGTATATAGTCACAGAGGCAAACATGACGGCGGTGACTACTATTAATCTGATTACACGGTGGTTCAACCTAATTGGCACTTTAGGTTGCAACCCCCGTGTTTTCCGTATGTTTTATAGGTTTATGCTATGTGAATACACGCTACAACTCGTTTCATTTGTTGCAACCCTTCGATACGAAAGTGGCAGGTTATAGATTTTAAAAGTTTCTTAACTTGAAAAAATCAATTAACAACAGACTAATCCGAGCAAAAATTTATCGAAACAATGTTATATAGCAAGAATACTACTGCACAATATAATGAATGATAGAAAACTGTAGTAAAATGAGACGACCCTACTCTATCTAGCGTCTAATTCCTGCAAGTATGCAGTGAATGAACTCTTATAAGGGACGAAGGAATATAACCATGCTGCCAGGTCGAATAGTTGTCGCAGGTTCGGACATAGGTTCAGGGTTCTGTTCGGGGTTGTCGCCAGGTTGGGGGTAGGTTCAGGGTTCTGTTCGGGGTTGTCACCAGGTTGGGGGTAGGTTCAGGGTTCTGTTCGGGGTTGTCGCCAGGTTGGGGGTAGGTTCAGGGTTCTGTTCGGGGTTGTCACCAGGTTGGGGGTAGGTTCAGGGTTCTGTTCGGGGTTGTCACCAGGTTGGGGGTAGGTTCAGGGTTCTGTTCGGGGTTGTCACCAGGTTGGGGGTAGGTTCAGGGTTCTGTTCGGGGTTGTCACCAGGTTGGGGACTAGGTTCAAGGCTCTGTTCGGGGTTGTCGCCAGGTTGGGGGACCACTGACCAGGTTCAGGGTTCTGTTCGGGGTTGTCACCAGGTTGGGGGCCAGGTTCAGGGTTCTGTTCGGGGTTGTCACCAGGTTGGGGGTAGGTTCAGGGTTCTGTTCGGGGTTGTCGCCAGGTTGGGGGCCAGGTTCAGGGTTCTGTTCGGGGTTGTCGCCAGGTTGGGGGTAGGTTCAGGGTTCTGCTCGGGGTTGTCACCAGGTTGGGGGCCAGGTTCAGGGTTCTGTTCGGGGTTGTCGCCAGGTTGGGGGTAGGTTCAGGGTTCTGCTCGGGGTTGTCGCCAGGTTGGGGGCCAGGTTCAGGGTTCTGTTCGGGGTTGTCGCCAGGTTGGGAGTAGGTTCAGGGTTCTGTTGGGGGTTGTCACCAGGTTGGGGGCCAGGTTCAGGGTTCTGTTCGGGGTTGTCGCCAGGTTGGGGGTAGGTTCAGGGTTCTGTTCGGGGTTGTCGCCAGGTTGGGGGCCAGGTTCAGGGTTCTGTTCGGGGTTGTCGCCAGGTTGGGGGTAGGTTCAGGGTTCTGCTCGGGGTTGTCACCAGGTTGGGGGCCAGGTTCAGGGTTCTGTTCGGGGTTGTCACCAGGTTGAGGGCCAGGTTCAGGGTTATTTTCGGGGTTGTCGCCAGGTTGGGGGTAGGTTCAGGGTTCTGTTCGGGGTTGTCGCCAGGTTAGGGGTAGGTTCAGGGTTCTGTTCGGGGTTGTCACCAGGTTGGGGGTAGGTTCAGGGTTCTGTTCGGGGTTGTCACCAGGTTGGGGGTAGGTTCAGGGTTCTGTTCGGGGTTGTCACCAGGTTGGGGACTAGGTTCAAGGCTCTGTTCGGGGTTGTCGCCAGGTTGGGGGACCACTGACCAGGTTCAGGGTTCTGTTCGGGGTTGTCACCAGGTTGGGGGCCAGGTTCAGGGTTCTGTTCGGGGTTGTCACCAGGTTGGGGTAGGTTCAGGGTTCTGTTCGGGGTTGTCACCAGGTTGGGGGTAGGTTCAGGGTTCTGTTCGGGGTTGTCGCCAGGTTGGGGTAGGTTCAGGGTTCTGTTCGGGGTTGTCACCAGGTTGGGGGTAGGTTCAGGGTTCTGTTTGGGGTTGTCACCAGGTTGGGGTAGGTTCAGGGTTCTGTTCGGGGTTGTCGCCAGGTTGGGGGCCAGGTTCAGGGTTCTGTTCGGGGTTGTCGCCAGGTTGGGGGTAGGTTCAAAGGTTCAGGGTCCTGTTCGGGGTTGTCGTCAGGTTGTGGGCCAGGTTCAGGGTTCTGTTCGGGGTTTTCACCAGGTTGGGGGTAGGTTCAGGGTTCTGTTTGGGGTTGTCACCAGGTTGGGGGGTAGGTTCAGGGTTCTGTTTGGGGTTGTCACCAGGTTGGGGGTAGGTTCAGGGTTCTTTTTGGGGTTGTCGTCAGGTTGGGGGTAGGTTCAGGGTTCTGTTCGGGGTTGTCATCGGGTTCAGGCCGAGGTTCATGGCCCTGCTGGAGGTTGTCACCATTGCGCGTTCACTTCAATACTGTCACCCACATTGCACCACTACATGAATTAAGCATTAACACTTGTATTTGTACCATACAGGTACAGTTTGTAATATCAATATGGTGTGGGAACCTGGTACATGGGGTTGCTATAATATAATGGCGCCAAGAGCACCGCCAATAGCACCGCCAATAGCACCGCCAATAGCACCGCCAATAGCACCGCCAATGGCCCAGTGGCCCAGTTCAGACTCTGTTATGACGGTTCTTATGACGGCTGTAGTTGGATATTACTTACGAACATAACAACTCAAAAAGTCAAATCGCGCTTTGATATACTACGTTAAAATTAGTATTCTAAAAGTTACGCCTTACAAACAGTTATTATCAATTGCACTAGTTCTTTCGTAATGAAAGGTTCAAAAAGTGACAACATCTTAGCGAGTCAAATAATTCATGCTTCACAATTGTGTTGAAAGTCAACACTTTGACAGTGTTTTCTGAAATTTCTGCACAAACCTGCTGACTCAGAAAATGTAGTTAAAAATAGCACAGGTAGCCGGGGATGAGCTTTTTTAGGTTTCTCGTGATCCTGGTCCAAGTCTGTGAGTTTTATGTGTCAATATTGTTAAATATTGTTCCAAGTCTGTAAGAGTTTTGTGTCAAGATTGTTCGAGGCTGCTCATGGTGTGTCAAGGTTGTTCGGCTCGTTATGACAGCCAAGTATTGGTCTGGGTTACCCTGGTAGGTATTGCCTGTAACGGTGTTCACATTCCTTCATCAGGGCACTGGTCTACTCATCACTCTGCTGAATTCCTCATCGGTAAAACATTGATCTGGGCTACTTCACCTAGTTCAGGTCTTCTGAAAAATCATCAAATACTAAACTAGGACTTGTAACAATATGCCCTTCAACGGCTTTAACAATTTAAATATCTCTATTTTGATAGGTGAAAAATTAACACTTTATTGCTTTTTTGTTTTACAATTTTCCTTGTAAAATATTAATCGGCGGCTGATCAGGAAGAAACACTAGCAGGAACCCGTCTAACCCTAAAGTGGTGGAGGGAGACAACAATAATTGTTATTTTGTGATTTCGAAAATGTTCTTTCTTTATACTGGTAAAAAGGTTGGTATACTGGCATAAAAGCATTTGACCCAGCCAACAACGTTTAGATTATAAATATCTCCGGGATTTCGACGCGGGATCATATTATCACTCAGCCCGGCCCGCTGTTAGATAAACATCTCAAGGTGATATCATCCCGCCCCGGAAATTTGTATAAACCCGGCCCGCTTTTTAGTCGTAACTGATGTTTATCATTCAATTCTTCGACTTACAATAATCAATGATACTGCTGATTAGAACTCGATAATAGTAGAACAGTTAGACGCGCGATCACGTGGGCGCGTCACGTGCGTACCACGTGCCACCAATAGCATACGCCGAGTCTATACCACGTGACACGAAAGCGCACCACGTGATATGAAACATCGTAACCGTCCACTTCTTTTACACGCAAATTCCTGGGAACGTTGCCAAAGCAGCTAATTCTTGGAATTTCTCCAACGCGTGGCGTGAGAAGTTGGCGACTAGCCAGCTACCCTTGTCCGTGCCCTAAAAATAGTATTGTTTTGCTTGCTCTCCTTCCAGCTCTTGTTCCTGCTAACGTTCAAGCTATTGCTCCACTATGACAGATCGGTTTGACATTCAGATTGATGAACTGCTTTCCAATTTTATCACTCTCTTCTAAAGTATAAATCCCTTGTCGAAATCGCCGGAGATAATTATAATCCATAAACACTTCACGCTCAGGGCTAAATAAATGTAATCCCTCAGCTGGCGCTTCGGGATTACATATTAACACAAAACTCGTGCGCTGCGCGCACTCGTATGTGTTTATCAGATCATCCCGCTAGCGCGGGATGATCTGTTATATAAACCCTTTGCGTGGCGGGTTTATGTTATTATATATCTCTAATGGGTTTCGCAGAAATTCGCGTTAAAGTTGATGTCTTGGTGTTAGTAAAATGGTATCAGATATATATATATATAAATATATTGTCTCGCTTTATATAGAGTAAGAAATTCAGTGCATAAGATGGCGATATTATAAATGTGACGGTCAATGTGTTGCATTTGAAACTAGTTAGATATAAAGGTAAAAAGAAAATAACAAAAAGTTCACTTTCAAAAGGAGCAGAAGTAAAATTTTGAGAGCAAATTACGTGCGAAACCCTTACAAAGTTATTGTGCTATTTCTTGAGTTATTCCCGTTTTTGGCAAAAACGTTTTGCATAAAGTGTCGAATAAATTTGACACTCTTGTCATCTGGCTGACATGGTCGAGCGATTCCCCAGAAAATAGTCTTTTCCTCCAACTGCTGCTGTCAGCGACCCCTGTCTCTAACCAATTATTTACCTCCTCTAATATTTACTTTCTCTGTCATCAAACGCCTCCTGAGTATGTGTCAGCCTACTTACCAAACATACAGTGAGACATTTATTATTTAGCTGCTTGTTAAGCCTTGTTAGGGGAAGCAGCTGCTTTAGAAGCTTTAGCTACAGCTTTAGAAGCAGCTTTAACCGCAAGCAAAGAGAAGCTTTACAGTTGTGGAGGGTGTTGTGGGACATTCTCATGTTTAGAGTGCAGAACATTCCGGACCAATCAACACCCCCCACTTTCAGACCTGGTGAAAATATCTGGGATTATTTCAACTTTCTCCAGACGTGGATTCACGTGTAATTATAGTCAACATGTCCTGAGATATTTTTACTAAACTCAGTCAATTTAATTGGCATGGAAAGCAAAATATCCCAGTTCAAGTTATAATAAATTTAGATATACTGGTGGGTGGGTAAGTTTAAAAAGCTTAAAAATCTCTTAAAATAAGTATTCTAGAGCATGCGATGCTTTACAAGTGGCACATACTTGATATTTCTGGCCATTGCAAACATTTCATACCCCTTTTGAGGTCTTCCTGACTCGCTTTATTTTTCCAACAAATATTCATTCACCTAACAGTACCTTAGAGTCTACAAAAGCAGGAGAATTTCCAAGTCTACCACAAAAAGCCGATATAAACCGATTTTACCGCAATTTTCTCAAATAAGATTTAAAATCCTCTACAAATATTATAACTCCTTCTTTGGGAACGATTTAAGGAGAATGTTCAACAAATAAAGCCATGACTAAAATAACCCTAGCAAGGCTTCTGTGTCATCAAAATCTAACTTTCATGATTTTAATCGAGTATTACTATTAGTTATATATAATATTGATTTAACAACAATGTGGAAAAATAGGTAGCAACTTAGTAAGGAAATAACAAATAGTGGAAATAATAACTTTATGAACAGATAATATAATCACTAAAGGTGTTACCCCTGCAAACAGTATCACAGTGCAATCAGTTCAACCTACTATGTCCAAACTAGACACATCATCAGGTTCAATTGGTTGTTAAACGGCATGTTCAATAACTAAACAACAAAACGGAAACAAAAACACGTCTGTGGGCGGCAAAATGCTGTAGGGGGTGGCAAAAAACTTTTTTTCCTCCTTCTTTAAAGAAAAGCACATACTCATAGGTACGCTCCGCCGATGCCCTTACAATCTAAATATGCTTTAATCGTACTACAGTCAAACTAGGCTGTTTTACCCCAATCTGTATAAGTCACAAAATAGGATCTAGAGAATAAAAATAAGTGACCATATGGACGTTTGTTGACGTAGTGGCTCAGTAGAGGAGACAACAAAATGCGCCAAAACTACGATCACTCTTCAGTCTTCAGTCTTCATCTCAAATATAAATTGTCGAGCATTCTCCAGTACTTTCTGTGGGAAGCAGTTATGATAGCTTCCTAAAATAACCTTTTACAGTAACCGTGATAGCGCCATAGTGCTAGATTTCCGCTGGAACTTCACGGACATGTGTCGGGCTTCTTGGATAGTGCCAAAAATTAAGACATTTTTAACCGTGAATGTGAAAATTTTACAATGTCAAAAAACAAAATATCAAATATGGTTAATCGGGACGGAAAGTGTTTTATAGTTTATAACCGATTAAATCATCTGTGAGACCTGTAATATGGATGGTAGTAAGACGGAACTGTTCAACAAAAGAAGGCATCTCCCGACACTAAAAAAGTAGAAAAGATGGGCAGTTGGACGTCACGCGGCCTAAAAAGCGGCTGCTTATTGTGCAGACAACGGACTGGCAACCTGGCAAAGAACAAGCAACCTGGCAACAGACTGGCAGCCTGGGCGCGGTCTAGTGCACATGTTGTCGAGGTGATGTGGACGTAATAATAACCTAATAATATTGTGCCGGCATCTAGAAAACATTGAACAATATGAGGAGTTAATTGAGAACTGGAGGGTATGGGAGTTGTCTAAGAAAATAGAGAGTAAGGCCTGAGAAAGAAATGTCGCACCTCTTCTGTAGTTCATGTGATAATTAGGATGGGAATATGCTCTGGCAGGGTTATTCCAGCATTTTCTAAAATATTTGAATTTAATGTGCGTTAAAAAATGCTCCTCAGATACTCGATCTTCATCTTTGAGTTAGCAAACTATTTCAACGCATTTTTGTGAGGATACGCAAAGGCCCCGTGAAAGCTGAAAAGTTTTCAATAATATTTGCGAATATTTTTTGCAAAATATAAGTGTTATTCATCATGACATAACTTGGAAATGCA